TATATACAGGGCTGGGATTATAGCTCAGTGATAGAGTGCTTGCCTAGCATGTATGAGGCACTAGGTTCAATTATCAGCACTGCATATGAATAAAATATAATAAAGGTCCATCGATAACTAAAAAAATATTAACAAAAAAGAAGAATGTATACCATGACTTAGATAAAGAAAAGTATATACAATGATAAAAGACGCTATTCACAAAGAAAGTAAATAATTCTAAATGTGTATATACCTTACAATAGGGCCTCAAAAATACATAAAACAAAACCAGACTGAATTAGAAGAACTGGAACCAGATGCAGTGGCACATACCTGTAATCAGCCACTCAGAAGGCTGAGGCAGGAAGATTACAAGTTCGAAGCCAGCCTCAGCAAATTAGCAAAGCCCTAAGCAACTTGGTGAGACTCTGTCTCAAAAAGTAAAAAGGGCTGGGGATGTAGCTTGCTGGTAAAGTGCCCCTAGGTTCAATCCACAATAATAATAATAATAATAATAATAATAATAACAACAACAATAAAAATAAAAAGAACTGGAAAAACTCACAATTATAGTTGGAGATGTCAACCCACTTCTACCTTCTCTCAGTAATAGAGTAATATGATCGCAAACAAAATATCTGCAAGGATATAGAAAAACTGAATACCATCATCAACCAACTAAATCTGACATACCCAAACCAGATAAAAGCAATACAAGACAAAGTTACAAAAATTAAAAAAAAAAAAAAATGGAAGTCAAATCCAGCAACAAATAAAAATATACCACAAGCAAGTGGAGTTTATTCTGAGAATACAACACTGATCCAATATTCAAAAACCAATCAATATAATCCAATATATTAACAGACAAAAGGAAACCAGTTGTATCAAATAACACAGAAAAAAAGTATCTGACAAAATTCAACACCCATTTATGATTCAAAACAACAACAACTTTCAGCAAACTAGCACAAGAAGGGAAGTTTATCAAACTGATAAAGGGCATTTACAAAAAACCTATAGCTAACCTCAGACTTAATGAGAAAAACAGAATGCTTCACCATTCCTAATCAACACTGTAATAGATGTCCTAGCTAGTGCAACAGGACAGGAGAACAAGGCTGAAAGAGAGAAGAAGAAACAAATTGGAAATGCAGAAATAAAACTCCCTATTCCTATTCATAAGACCACATGATTATTTATATAGAAAAATCCCAAGAAACCTACAAAAAAGTTCCTAGGAATAATAGTTTAGTAAGTCACAGAATACAAAATCAATATAAAAAAAAATCAATCGTTTTATATGCAAGCCATGAAAATTTTAAAACACAATTTTTAAAGCACTATTATTCACAATAGCATCAAAAAGAAAAAAAAGAGAAATACTTAAGATATAATTCTAACAAAATATGAAGGATCTATATGTTGAAATTATACAAAGCTGATGAAAAGAAGCCAAAGGCCCAGGTAAATGGATATACATACCATGTTCATGGATTGCAAGACTTGACATAATTAACATGTCAATTCTTCCCAAACTAATTTATAAATTGAACACAATTTTAATAAAATTCCAGAAGGGTCTTTTTTTTTTTGTAGATGTAGACAATATAATTCTAACATTTATAATGGGGATTATTAGAACAGCCAAAATAATTTTAGAAAAAAAGAAGAAGAAAGTTGGAGGACTCAGAGGCCTACACCAATGTGGCCAAGATACAAAGGCAATCTGATGGAGTAGGGTATTCTTTTCAATAAATGATGTTGGAACAACTGGACATGTAGACACTCATTTGTCAAAATAAACATAAAACATAAGCCTTGACTTAACCATCACAATTATACAATATCAACTCAAAAAGGATCATATATAAAACTGTGAAATGTAAAAACTATAATACTTTTATTAGAAAACATGGGGAGAAATTCTTCATGACCTCTGTACAACTGTAAAAGAAAAAATGGGTAAGATGGAGTTAATCATCATTCTGCTCTGAGAAAAATCTCTGTTAAAAGAATGAAAAGTCAAACTGGAATGTTCACCTGGAAGTAGACATTTGCAAATCACATAAAAAAATAAATAAAAATTACATCCAAAATACATTCAAAACTCTAAAATTTCAACAATGAAAAAGTCAACCCAATAAACTATGGGAAAGATTTAAATAATTCACTAAAAACATGGATGAGAAATACACAAAAAAATACTCGACGTCATTAGCTATCAGGGAAACGCAGAGTAAAACCAAAATGAGATGCTACTACACATCTATTAGAATGGTTTTTAAAAAACACAATAAACAAAACATTGACAATATTAGTGCTGGTTGGGATATGAAGGAATTAGAACTCATATATTGCTGCTAAGAATGCAAAATACTTTCTACAAAACAGTCTAGCAGGGACTTATATAATTAAATATATACTTAGCACATAATCTAGCAAACCCACTACCAGACATTTGCCCTATGTAGAAAAGAAATAAAAACTATATCTACACAAAAACCTATACACAAATGGTTACAGCAGTTCCCATTTATAACTACCAACAAGTGAAACAATCCAAATATATTCCAGTAGACCAATGAAATATACCAATACAAAGGAATACTACTTGAAATAAAAAGAAATAAACTATAAAAATAAACCTCAAAGGTTAATATTCTGTATAAATTCACTTATATGACATTTTGGAAAAGGCGAAATTGTAGAGATGGAAAATAGATCACTGGTTGCCAAATTTGGAAGAGAAGGGTTTGGCTACAAAGGTGATAGAATTCTTCTTTGTCCTGACTGTGGTGATAGTTAAAAAGATCTATACATGTGCTAAAATTCAGACAAGTAAACATTTTTAAAAGGTCAAATTTACTATATACAAATTTTTAAAATAACAATTGAAACAGGAAAAAAGTAATGACCATTGCTATCAATATTTTTTAAATGAAATAAATTACCATCAAAGCAAAGACTGTTTCCAAAAACAATAAAGCGTATTAAAATTAAAGAAACAAACCTTACATTTCCATTTCCAGAAACATGCCAGACTATATGTTCAAAGAAACTTATCCCAATACTGAATTCCCTCAAAATGCCTTTTAAAAGTATAGCAGAGGGCTGGGAATATAGATCAGTGGTAGAGTGTTTTGCCTAGTCCATGCAAGGCCCCCCAGAATCAATGCCCGCGCCAAGAAAGGAAGGGGAAGGGAAGTGTATCAGAGCTTGTGTTAAAGAAAGGGCACAAACAAGTAAAAACAGTTCCCTTACCTTTGGGCCAGTAGTACTTTGAAATTCAGAAGTTTTAAGGTTTTTATAGGGGTGACACACTATGTTTAACATACAGCACTATCTGGGACAATACCCGATAATTAAAAACATTTACATTTCTGCAACAAAATTCATTGCAGTTCAGGTTAGGTTTTGTTAAAAAATAACTTCAGATAGTCAAAGCTTTCTATATTTTATAGCAATCTGTACAAATTCAGATAGAAAAAAGTCAAGACAAAGCATTCACTTAAGGGGGTGGGAGGGATAAAAAAAAAAGACCTAGTGCCTTCACATTAAAGGGCCCAAACAAGGAAAATTAGACAAATAGAATGTCTAAAGCCAGAAGCTCAAAGGGCAAGATCTTTGGTTGATTAACTCAGGAGGGCAATAAAAGACCTCTAAGAGGAACACAACAGTGTTCTGATGCCAGAGGAAAAAAAGGAAAAATCTTCTTTGACAATTCCTGACCACAAGACTACTCCCAGGTTTAGTGCCTTAAAAACCCAAATAAACATATTTTAAATAGTACCAGAAAGGTAGTGAACCAAGCTCCAAGTGCATGACAAAAGCAAATGCAAATACACCTGAAAACTTAATTTACACAGAATACTTAAAGAATGCCCACAGGTAGGTTCATGAAACAGATGGTCAGTTAAGCTCAGCTGGTTAGAAAAAGGTGGTAGAAATTCATGAAACAAGTTCACAGCTAAAAATCATTGAAATCACCACATCAAGAAAATGAATCTGAAGAAACAAATGTTAAATCAGATCCATAAAAGCAATAGACAGATATGTTCAATAAAGTTATTTATTTTTGGTGGTGCTGTGTATTAAACCCAGAGCTTTGTTCAAGCTAGGCAAGCACTCTATCACTAAGCTACAGTCCGAGCCCTATGTTTAATAAGTTTAAGGAAATGAAAGACAAGATCAGAGGTGGGATGAAGGTAAAAGGAACAAGAAAACTATGAAAAACAAGCAAACACATTTCAAGAAAATAAAAGTGTTTCTAGAAATGAAGAATTCAATCATTTTACAATGAAAATAACATGCCAAAGTTGATTCAATAATGAAGAACCAACTTTAGAGAGAATCAATGAACCCATGAAGAAACCACCAGCTTTTGAGAAACAAAGAACAGATAAAAACACAGAGGCTGTGCAATGGGAATTCCAGAAGGTGATAACTAAAGAAAAGGAGTGTGCAATTTCTAAACTATTAAGAGAAGAGAAGAGAATTGAAAGAAAAGGGATGCTGTTGTCAATATGCCTAGGTTTTAATTCCAGTTCCTCACTTACTGTACAACCCACGGCAAGTTACTTAACCTTGCTGAGTCACGATTTTCTCCTTTATAAAACAAGGTAACAATGCCTACTTCATATAAGTGTTGTGGCTATTAAATGAAATCCAAATATACACTTAGCACAGAACTCAATACATTACCTCACGGCACCTGATGACAATTAAAAATATATATATAAAAACTTTATCTGCAAAGTGCAGTAAAATAGATTGAGACGGAAAAAATAAGCCTATATGGATAATCTACGGATAATGGTTTGATTTCCAACTCTTAGAGGATGTAGTCACTCTAGATATCCCTCCTGCTCCTTTTTCATACACTGATGTGATTCTACTCCACTTTCCAAATCATTCCAAATTTGCAAGCAGGTAGAAAAGAGAATACTATTCTAATGCTTTTATTTCTCATCTTAAGCTCTGCTTTGTGAATTAAAACAAGAAAACCAAATACTTACTTTTCATTAGTTTTCCTGACAATTCTTTTAGTGGAGAAGAGGGACTATTTCTACTGGCTATTATAAGTCTGGAGGAGGATTCTTGAGTTTCCATGGAAACTTGACTAGCTCCTGCTCTGGCCATTTCAAGGTGAAGAGAAGGGGCACTGTCACATTCCTGGGAAAGCAGCAAGTGATTCTGAGTGTTGTTAGTTCTATTATTCAGGCTAATTCCTTCTGATTGAGTCATAAGCAATTGGGCTGAGCTAGAACCCTCCAATCTCTTGTCACGGGACTCAGTTACAAAAGATGCTGTAGTTTCATGCTTTTTTGATGGAGATACAGGCTCAGCCAGAGAGCTCTGCTTCACTGTGTTCAGACTGTGTGCTCTTATTCGGGACCAAGTTGTAGAATGAAAACTTTCAGCTTCTAACCAAAATTTAACCAAATGCTCCATTCTCCGAAGTTCCATGAATTGAATGAAATATGGGAGGACAACAGTGTCGTGCAAGACTTGTTCAAGGGTTTTGGAAAGACTTGATTTGGTCTCCTGAGTCTGGTAGTCCAGACAAGATCTGCCTAAAAGAAGCAAAAAAGTCAGCAGTTAGGTAACAAATAATTTCACATAGAAAGATTATTCAATCACCTTTAGCAACAAGGATACCAGAGGGTTCTTAAATAAAATTTGTTTCCTAGCAACCACAATAAATGAACTATAGATACTATGATTTTGGTTTCTAAACAATGCAAAAACCAACCATCTAAAACTATTTAAATTACCGAAAAATACTTTGTTACTCAATCCTTATTATCTCCTTAGTATTAATTCAGAACATGTAAATTCTTTTTTTTTTTTTGGTTGTCCATGGACCTTTATTTTATATTTTATTTATAACCCAGGGCTTCACCCATGCTAGGCAAGCACTCTACAACTGAGCCACAACCCCAGCCCCAGAATATGTAAATTCTTAAAAGAAAAAAATAATCTTATGGTATGAATAACCTATGATACCAGTCCCAAAGAAAAAGGGATAATAAAATTATTTTTTAAAAAAAGTTTTAACCTCATTGAAATCCCGGAAAGGGCTGGTAGAGCACTTGCCTAGCTCAGTGAGACACTGGGTTTGATTATCAGTACCACATAAAAATAAGTAAATAAATAAAATAAAGGTATTGTGTCCATCTACAACTAAAAAAAGAAAAGAAAAAAAACCAGAAAAGTAAAGTAATGTAAGATGACATTTTGCCTCTCACACTGGAAAATGTTTTTTCAAAATAAATAAATAAGCACTATCAAGGGCATGGGGACATCAGCAACACTCTCTGATACTGGTGATGAGACTATTAACTGGCAAAATCTTTTCAAGGGAGCATTCAGGAACACACAGTAAAGCCTTAGCAAACTAGCAAGTTAGAAAAACATAGCAAAAGTTTTTCAATCCAATAACTCCACTTGTGAGCACTTGTCCTGAAGAAAAATTGTGGATATGTGGATATAGCTATAAAGGTGTCATGAATTCTCCATAATGGCTTTGGGATCTTATCTCAAAGAATAAAACTTAATAAAAGATACATTTCTCTTATTTTATATTTAGTTAAATTTAGTTTATCATTATAACCACAAGCCAATTATTAGGGTAACCAAAAAAGTGAGAAAAATTTTTGGCCTGATTGTAAAGGGTCATATAAATTTATAAAAATTTATAAAATTAGCTGAGGGTTTCATTAATTTTTCAAAAGGACTTTCCTTAATCCTTTGATATTCAAATGCTTCTCTTTTGAAGCACTTCATGTGTCATCATTTCTCATGACTATCTTGCCATCAATGTTAACTAAGTCCATCTTTGATAGTATCACTTCATGAATTTAAGGAAATCCTGATATTTTGCAAAACTTTAAAATTTCTTTTAATTAAACCCTGAGATAATGATAGATTCACACAGAATTGTGAGAAATAATATAGAAAAATCCTTTGAAGGGCTGGGAGTGTAGCCCAGCAATAAGCTACTTAGCTAGCATGTACAAGGCCTGGGTTCTATCCCAATCAAGGAAGGGAGGGAGAGAGAAAGAAAGGAAGAGCCCTTGAGCTTTTTAATTTCCAGCACAGTAATATCTTCGAAAACGAGAGTACAATATTATACCAAGATACTGACAATGATAGAATCCACCAATTTTATTCCAGATTTCCTCAATTTTACTTGTATTCATTTGTGTATATTTAGTTCTATGTAATTTTATCATGTGTAGATATATGTATCCATTGCCAAGACATTAAAGTTTCAACACCACAAGGATTCCTCATGCTGCCCACTCATAACCATACTCACCAAGTCTCCTTACCTCCCCCATCACTAACTGGCAGTCACTAATTTCTTAATTTCTCTAATTTTATCAGTTCAAGAATGCTATGCAAATGTACTTCTGCTGTAACAGTGGTCCACTTTATGCTTTGAATATAGCCCTTGGTGCTGTGCCACTGCAAATGATTTTTTAAATGTACATGTTTCTTTCTCCTCCCCTCCCTGCTCCTCCTTAATCTCTCCCCCTCCCTAATCTTAGGGGAAACAGGATCACCTTTTTTCACTATCCTAGGCAGACTTATCTGTCCTTGAATACATACCCACCATTGGAATGAAGTAATCTAGACTCTGGGGATGGTACCAGAAGATCTCAGAATTGACTATCTCCCAAATTAAAGAGTAAATTACAACTTCAACAGAGGCCATACAGAATGTATCCTTTAACCACCTCTTTAAAAGCCCTGTGTTCCTACTGATGGGCAGAATCACGGCCTTTCAGACAGGAATCCCCTGTGTTTCTCCTTTGCTAGCAAAGAAATAAAACTTTTTTCCTTTTTCTCAAAATCTTATCCTCCTTATTTGATTGGCATCAGGGACAAGGGCTGGGCTTTCAGTAACATTCCTTTTGTGATTGGCTTTTGCCTTTTACCACAATTCCCTTGAAATTCATCCCTGTTGTGTTTATAGTTTATTTCATTTTATTTTTAAGTAGTATTCTGTGGTATGAATTTACCAGGTCATTTAGCTATTGAAGGACATTCACTTTATCACTAGTAAGCTGCCATAAACATTTGTGTACAGGTTTTTATGCAAACATAAAATTTTCATTTCTCTAAGATAAGTGTCTAAAAGTGCAAGTACTGGGTCATATGGTAATTCTGTGTTTAGCTTTACAAGAAAATGTCACACTGTTTGAGAGTGACTATACCACTTACATTCCCACCAACAATATGTCCAGTAAAACTTATAATTTTACTTTGTGACCAATAAGCATTTGTTTGAAGTGCATTGTTGAGTACAACCCAGAAAGATTAGGCATCCTGGCTTTGAGTATATAAAATATTAAGCAAAGAGATATCAAAAAAGGGAATAATTTCATTAGAAGTCAATTCATTATGAATTTTTTTCTATTTATGACGTGCAATTTTTATAAGTGAAGAAGTCTGAGTAACAAATACTCAGAAAACAAGGATCTCCTACATATCTCTTTATGGGGGAGAGTTATTTTAACATAACAGAGATCTTACTATATGCACCCCTATGTGACCATTTTTCACTTTAAGGCATCTTAAGATATTCTCTGAAGTTAAAATGGCTACATTGTATTTAAATGGTTACTGCTTTTAAATGGCTACATTGTATTCCAGGATATAGCAAATTTGATTATTTCTCTCCTAACAGATATCTATACGTTGTTCTTAATTTTTTGCTATCATGAACAACACTACTACAAATAACTTTTACACATACTTACACATTTTTGTTCATATGTGCAAGTATCGCCAAAGGCCAAGTTTTACAAAGAAGCGTTGCCTATATGTCATAAATACTTTATATTTTGACAATTACTATCAAACAGACTGCTTTCCAAAGAGTTTTCACCAATTTATACCATCACTAAGGGAGTGGTCATTTCCCTGCTTCTTCACTAATATTCAAATTACCAAACCTTAAATATGTGTTAATGTGCTTAAACCCATTATTTTAATTTAGATTTCCCTCAGTATTACTGAAGTAAGGCATCTTTTTCATGTATTTAATGGTCAAATATACTTCTGGAAATTGCTCATTTTTATACTAGTCATGCTTTACATTTTGTATATTTATAGGAACATAACACAGTTGTCACCTATAACACTCATTGCTCTACTTTAATTTAAATATATTTTTTCAAAATCCCTTCCAATGACATTGTTCAGTACACTATGACAGGAGTTTCACATATTGTACTCAAGTCCTTTCTTTATCAGAGTTAACAAAAAGTGATAGCCACTTACCCAGGTCCCCAAAATGAGCAGCCTCCATGTGGCTTGGCTGCTTCTTAAGTGTTGCTGTCCTGCTACTTGAAAAGGAGTCCATGTTGGCAGAAATGGCATTGATTGCAACATGACTTGGTCCTGCAGCTTCCAGCAAGGCATGATTTTTAGTGCTTTTTTGTGGGGAATGTACAGATACTGAAGCTGTAATTTAAAAAAAAAAAAAAAAAAAAAGCCGTTAATTAAACACAATATAATAACCTAAAACTCTTCAGACAACTTTCAGAAAACTTTAAAATTAAGTTACATAACACTCTGCTTAAGCAGCATACTCAACAAAAAATACTTAAGATGAAAGATAACACAATCAAATAGCAAAAAATAGGAAAGAAAACACTTAACATTATTTATAACTCTCAAAATACTGTACTTAAAGTGAATAAAATAGATACTTCTTTGAGAACTTTGTTTATGGAGAATAGAAAGTACCAAACCATTCTGAAATATGGACCCTTTTCAATTTCTTAATCCTTGCTTGCTTCAGAAGCAAAACCAAAATTACAAAATAAATACCTGGGGGAGAGAAAACTGAAGAAATAATCTTTAGAATATTTTTTTTAGTTGAGTAACAAGATTTCTTCATCTAATAAAATATATTGATGATTAAAGTTCAAAGATGAAGCACACGTAAAACTTACAATGAGATGGAATTAAAGTTTCGTGGAAGAATGCTTGCCAAGTATGTGTGAGGCCCTGAGTTCAATCACCAGTAATACATAAAAAAATTAAAAAATATATTTTGTTTAGTAGTCTGAAGAAATACTTTGAAGTCATCCTTTTGACTTCAGAATAAAGAAGTTAGTTACCAATTCACTAATAGGAAATCACTCAATATAACAATACTGTCAAAGTATAGATAATTAAGATTCTACCTATCCTATGTACTCCACAGAATTATCAATGACTCTCATAAAAGGTTTTTAAGAAGTTTTGCCTTCTTGCTATAACAAGAAGGAGAGGAATGATAAAGGTCACTAAACAGTCTCTGCCTCAAGATAAATGCTCTCAGATAATTAAAGCTGAATATCCTAGTATCCTTCATAAATGCTCTCAATTTCAGCAATAGTCTCAGATGCAAAATCTGAGTAATGAAGATGAACTATGTACAAAGAGCGCATAGTACTATAATTCAGTCGATGGCTCTTTGATATGTGTTTATAGGATAAAATATTTTAAAATATGCATATCTATGCATGTTTCCCAGGTATTTAAATTTATCCATCATTCAATAAGAATTTTGGGAATTATGGGATGGAGAGTAAATGCCTTCAAACTATTTGCTCAACTTTAGAAGAAAACTTTATTTTTATTTTCATGTTAAATTAAAGGGAGCAAAATCATTTTAGCAAGTTTTCTTATACAAACAATAAATTACAAGATCCCATGGGAATGGTTAGACTTTCTAATTGTTTCTTAATTAGACATCTATAATAATGTAATATACTACTAACTCACTTGTGCAAGGCTTCCCCCACCCTTAACTTGTTAGAACTAGTACCTCTTATTTACCTGCTCCTTCCTGATATTCCATCTGACTTCAGCCTCCATGGTAATCACTAATTTTCTATCTGTTCATCCCTCTCATTCTTTAGGTATACATTTATTAAATGTCCACTTCGTCAGCAATGGTCTTCTTCCTTAACTTCTGGTCCTCCTCAGGCTGTTCTTTAATTCTTTCTGCTAGACAGCACATTTATTCTTAAACCTCCAATATTACCAGAGCGAGTTTTTAAACTTTCCTTTTTCTAAAGCTGTAAACTCTTTTTCTTCCACTGCCTAAATAAACTTAATAAAATACAGACCCTGATATGCCTGTAAAATGGATAAAACCAGAGTTCATTCTGGCTGATTCAAAGGTACAGTCTTACTCATGCCTCAAAGTGGACACTTCTGTAGAATAGCTGGGGAATTCCTGACTTCTCAGACCTATTCTTTAACCTGGACTCCAGTTTTGTATCTTCAATCATTTACTATTATATATTCTCACTTTGACTTTGCCATTTTAAGCTCAAGTCTTCTTTTTTTTATTAAATTATTTATTTATTCTAATTTGTTATACACAATAACTGAATGCAATTCATTTCATATTATACATATAGAGCACAATTTTTTGAGTCACTGTACACGAAGTATTTTCACACCATTCGTGTCTTCATACATGTACTTAGGGTAATGATGTCTAACTCATACCACCATCATTCCTACCCCCTCACCCCCCCTTCCCCTTCTTCCCCTTTGTCCTATCTAAAGTTCCTCCATTCCTCTGATCCCCCACCATTGCCATTATGAGTCAGCACCCTCATATCAAAGAAAACATTCAATCTTTGTTTTTTTGGGATTGGCTTACTTCATTAGCATATTCTCCAACTCCATCCATTTACCTGCAAATACCATGATTTTATTCTCTTTTAATGCTGAGTAATGTTCAATTATACACACACACACACACACACCAAAGTTTCCTTATCCATTCATCTACTGGTAGGTTGGTTCCACAAGCTATCAAGCTCAATTCTTTAAAATATCAAACTTCTAAATATCACATATTCTTCTAAACTAATTCTCCTTCCTAATTTCCTGATCTCTGTTCAATCCACCAGTCTCTGAATCTCAAAAAAGGTCTCCCCCACCTTTCTTTTTTCTCGGTACAGAAGATTGAACTTGGGCACTAAACCACTGAGCCACATCCCCAGCCTTTTTCTTATGTTTTATATATAGACAAAGTCTCACTGAGTTGCTTATGGACTCGGTAAGTTGCTGGGGCTGGCTTTGAACTTATGAACCTCCTGCCTCAGCCTCCCAAGCTGGGCGTGCACCCAGCTTCATTCTCTCATTTCACTGTATCTATTACTTGCCAATATCTGTAAACTTTTCTTTCAAGATGTTTAAACATTTATTTATCTGTTCATTTTCAACTGCACTAAGAAAAGAACTTCTAAGGTCTCTATCCTACCTAACTGACTGACCTTTCATAAACACCAGTAAGTAGCCATGTTGACTCCATTTTCTGTCTCTACTTTCTTTTCTGGCCATTAAGGACCCTCTAAATATCATCTCAATCTTTCTGCAAGTATTTCCCTTTTCTTACGTGAAGCTCTCCTGAACAATATACACTCAAAGAAATAAAATGCTAGCCAGCCTCGGTGGTCCACACCTGTAATCCCAGCAGCAGCTCGGGAGGCTGAGGCAGGAGGATCACAAGTTCAAAAACAGCCTCAGCAATAGTGAGGAGCTAAACAACTCAGTGAGACCCTGTCTCCAAATAAAATACAAAACAGGACTGTGGCTCAGTGGCTGAGGGACCCTGTGTTCAAATCCAAAGAAGGAGAAGGAGAAGAAGAAGAAGGAAAAGGAAAGGAGAAGAAGAAGAAGAAAAGAAAGAAAGAAAGAAAGAAGGAAGAAGAAAGAAGAAAGAGAGGAGGAGGAGAAATAATAAAATGCTAGGCTGGCAGGGAAAGAATCATCTCTTTCATTCAAACCTTTCAACTTTTATACAAGGTAGGTCTCATTTTCATAAGTTTCTCCTCAACTTCAGAAATTATTTATTAATTGCAAACTCATCTGAACTCCTTGCGATACTTCTCTTAATTTGACTAATTCAACCCTGAGGGACTACTATGCTAAAACTAGATAATAGCTGCCAATGGAGAATCTACTATATATTACTAGGCACTATACTGGTTTCTTAATGAACACTTTCTTTTGGGGGGAAGACAATATTTTATTTCTCTCATAATAATCCAGGAATCCCTGTTTTAGAGGTAAAGACACAAGTGTAAAAGAAATTAAATAGTTTGCCCTAGGTCTATCAGCTAGTAAAGAAACATTTCAACAAGTAGGACTTAAACCATAGAGTCTCTATCCTTTGATTAAAAATTAGACCCTAAAATTATCTGCGCATATAACATATGTAAATTAGTAATTCAAAAGCACTTACCCCTCTAAATACTAAAACTGAACATATAATTTTCCAGCTTTGTTCTGTTTAGCAAGCCAGAAAGGTAGCCATTAACCTTAAATCTCTCTCTCCTTCATACCTCATATTTAATCAATAACAAAGTTCTATTCATTTTAGCTCCTAAAATTTTTTTCAAATCAGTCTAGATCTCCCTATTCCCATTACTACTAATCTAGCCCAAGTTACCTGTGGGATTATTTGATTAATGTTCCTCTCCTGTAGCAATTTGCAATTTCATTAAGAATAAGTCCTTTTTGTTCACTGTTACAGCCACAGTTTTTGTCTAATAACTAAAACAAAAGGCATATTTCACAAACAGTAGCTATTATTATTTTGCTTTATTTGCTACTGCTCTGTGACTAAGCTTGTCCTTCTAATCACAGACTGCAAACTGCTTCCCCTCTCAATTAAACTGCAAACTTCTTGAAGGGGTGTTTCCTGTACTATTTTTGTATTGTTTTAAGATTAAGTCAGTGATTATGAAGCACCAATTATGTATTGAAACAAGGTAATATGAGTTTGAAATTTTTTAGCCTGGATTTTAAATTTAGAAATCTAGAAACCAGCTAGGCCAATCCCATTATTCTACAAATGAAGAATCTGAAAAAGGTTACATGACTTCCCAAGGTCAGACTGTCAGTGGCAAAGTCTGGAGTAGAAGACTGGTGTGTTCTAACTTCCTGAGATATCAAAGTTCCTTCCTTCCACACAATCAGATCTAGTTTTTACAAGCTTCTACTGGCTAAGGGCTTTCAGACTTTATTAGTGCCAATCAATTTGGCTTAAAGAAAGCAGTGTAAACTAATGTGAGATTCAACTGGCTTTAAATTATAAAAAATAGACAATAAAGCTGATCTTGCAAAATTCATAATAAATTATAATCATTCTTTCTCTGGCAAATTGAACATAACATATATAATAAACATTATATAAACATTCCATGTAAGCTACACAACAGATAGATAAACACTGTAAAAAAAAAAATCTAAATGTACAATCTACAGATTTGATGAAATTAAGTTACATTTACAAAATTTATATCTAGTGACTATGGAAATAATTCCCATTGTAATTTTCCCATTACAATCTCTAATGGAATGAGTCAAAAACATAGCAGATTATAATCTAAAAAAAAAAAAGCGCACTGTAACCTATAAATAAGGACAATGTATTGAGAACAAAGTTGTCTAAATAAATTTTAAAATAATCATTCACATTTCTGAATAAACAGAAAACCAAGACTTATAAATGGGAGTGCTTTCCCTTAGCAGTCAAAACTGTTCAAGTGAGTAGTCTTTTGTTTTGTTTTAGTGAATAAAGATAGCTAATCACTTTTTAGGGAACAATCCAATGTGTTATGAATAAGAAGGGTGCTGGTTCACTAGTGTAGCCACCAAATGCTCTGTTAAAGACTATTATGTGATAGTTGTTAAGGAGTTACAGGTTAAAGAAGGAAATAAGTCACAATCATAAATAATTTTAAAATATGATAATAATTTAAAATACGATAATAATTTAAAAAGAAATGATTAATGCCAAAAGGGAGAAGATAACAGGATTAAAAAGCTAATAAATGTAAAGCTCATAAATGTAATTAAAAAGCTCATAAATGTGAAGACATCACTTTGGATGAACTCACCTTTAATGGACTTGACATCAGAAGTCTTCTCTTGTTCTTTGCCTTTCACTAGAAGACAAAAGTGAATCATAACCAACCTCTGTAGTCAAAGAGATCCCTGCTATACATTGTAAAACTCAGAGAAGCTTTATTCTAACACATGAGTATTGGAAGTTCCAGAAAAATGGACTAATGGCCTTGGAGCAGGACAGGGTAACGCAGCTATCAGGAAAACTTTCTCTAAGAAAGTGACCTCTGAACAGCATTCAGTCAAAAAACACTGGGCATTGTGTATGGGGAAACCATGTGGTCACAACACCTATGTTCAAATTCTGCCTCTCCCACTTATTAACCATGAATGAGTTACTTTCCTTCACTGTGTCTTAATCTCCCTGATTAATAAAAAAATAGGTCAATAATAAAACCTACCTTAGCTTATGATGAAAAAATAAACACTTGTAAAGGGCATTTGAAGACTAACTAAAAGTAAATTTAGGATAAATGTTAACTAATATTATTACCACATGCCATCCACTGTACTGGGTATTATAATCATAGTAAAGAAAAAGATTTCTTTGGTTGTATATCATCTTACTTCTGAATCCCCCCCATGCCAATAAAAGGCAAACATTCTAAACTTACATTCTAAACCTCCTAACATTCAAGATCTAACAAGTTGTCTCTAAAGTGATCATATAATTTTTCCTCTATTACACAAAACAGTGAAAAAGTCTATGGCAGATAAGCTAACAATATAACATCCAAGAAAGGAAGTCAAGCCAAGTGTGAACTCCATTACAGGATCTGACAGAAGACTATTTTTAACCTTCTTCACTTTTCTTGTTTTTCTTTCAACAATAGTCTGTAAACCCATCATGAAAAGATTATCAAAATAAGAGATCCCAAAATTTGCCCATCTCTCTACTTGTGCTCGGAAATATTAAAAGTTTAAATGCTAGTAGGAGGAAATAACTCTCAAGAGTATCTCATTGAGTGTTAATCCACTAACAATTTGAGTGCCTAGCATGTGCCAGATTCTCTTCTGTCTCAGTAAAGGCAGTGATCCTTCCATAAAGAAGTCTACCTGCAAGTGTGCAGAGACCAGCAATGGAGAAAATAAGTAAGAGCATCTCAGGTACTGATCACAAAAACAGGAAATGCAGAGTAATTGGTGAAGAGCTGCATCTACCAACCAAACAAATCTCTCGCTTGAAACATCAAATTGTCTTGCCTCCTGTTACACCCTACTCTCCTAGTTTTCTAGTCATTTCTCAGCTCTTATCCCTTACTGGCCTCTCCTCCTTTGCCCATTGGGAGTTTCTCAGGAAAAGTGTGGGTGCTTCTTTTCTTTTAATCCATATACATGTGTAATTTTCTACCTGATCTTCCCCATTTTTTAGGAAAAAATATATATATTTTTTAAATATATAATATATAATATTATTTTTTAGCTTTAGGTCGACACAATATCTTTTACATTTATGTGGTGCTGAGGATCGAACCCAGTGCCCTGTGCATGCTACACGAGTGCGCCATGAATTGAGCCACACCCCCAGCCCCTGAAAAAATATATTTAAAAAAAAAAATTTAGTTGTCAATGGACTTTATTTTATTTATTCATATGTGGTACTGAAAATCAAACCCAGTGCCTCACATGCTAGGCAAGTGCTCTACCACTAAGCCACAATCCCATCCCAGAAAACATATTTTTTAACCGACATATAGTAATAGTACATATTCATGGGGTACAGAGTGACATTTCAGTACATGTACAATATGTAAAGATCAGGGTTCCCATTCTTTCAGTACCATAGATAAGTTATAATTCCTAAATTTTAAGTCTCCATTCTAAATCTTTTTTCATCTCTGGTTCATATAGCTAACCATTAACTTGTCTGGTAACGTATCATCTTTTCTCTAACCTGTTTCTACCTCAGTCTTCATCTTCCCCCATTAAATAACACCATCAGCCATCTAAAACTCAGGCCAAAAATCTGAAAGTAATGCTTAACATTCTCTACTCTTTCCCTTACCTCCCACACTGAAACCTCCTCTAAGAAAAACTGATTCTACCACCGAAATATACCTATCTCCACAGCTATTTTCCACCTTCAAAATAATTCTTCTAATCAGAGCTCCTATTACACTTCAAACATAAAAATGTACATACAACCCACTGACACTGTTATCACATATACACACATTAAGCAACAACAAAATGCAACACCATAAGGCTTGCAAATCCTATACATCTTTAAAAATTACACAAATGAGGGTTTTTTTTTTTTTTTTGCGGGGGGTGGGGTGGGGGGGAGGCGGGTAATCCAGTGGTAGAGTGCTTGTCTAGTATGCCTGAGTTCCCAACAAAAAAATAAAATACGTAAACAGTATTCTATACATATCTGACTTGTATTCATTCAATATGACACCTATAAATGCAGTTCTAGTTCATTCATGTAGCTCTAGTTTATTTTACACACCTAATTCCTTTATATATTTACCCACTTTTATATTATTAAACATGTACTTTATTTCTAATTTTCACATACAACATCGATGTGATAAACATTCTGGTACAGTTTTCCTATGATATATGCAAGAATCCAATATAAATTCCTTGAAATGAAATTACTAAATAACAAATTGTGGGGGTTTTTTTGTTTTGTTTTGTTTTTCTGATACTGGGGATTTAACACGGGGCGCTTAACCACTGAGCCACATTTTTATTTTTTTAATTTTGAAACAGGGGCTTGCTAAATTACTTAGGGCCTCACTAAATTGCTGAGGCTGGTCTTGAACTTGCAATCCTCCTGCCTCAGCCTCCCAAATTACTGGGATTGCAGGCAGGTGCCTCTGCCATGGCTCAATTATTACATTTTAATGAAAACACTGAACCAATTTATACAACAAAAGCCATGCTTCTTTTTTTTTTTTTCAAGGTTTTTTTTTTCAATCCCTGGATTGAACCTAGGGGCACTTACCCACTAAGCCACATCCCCAGCCCCCCTCCTTTTTTTTAAGTTATACATGGACACAATATTTTTATTTTGCTTATTTATTTTTATGTGGTGCTGAGGATCAAACCCAGGGTCTCACATGTGCAAGGTGAGCACTTTACAGCTGACCACAACCCCAGCCCCAGCCCTTTTTAAAAATATTTTATTAGGGCTGGGGATGTAGCTCAGTGGTAGAGCGATTGCCCCACACGTGTGAGACCATAAGTTCAATCCTCAGCACTACATAAAAATAAACAAAAATGTGTTTATGTAAAATATTTTTTAAAAATATTTTATTAGAGACAGTGTCTTGCAGAGTTGCGGAGGGCCTCGCTAAATTGTTGAGGCTGGCTTTGAACTTGCAATTCTTCTGTCTCAGTCTCCTGAGTCTCTGGGATTACAGGCTTGCCCCACCAAGCCAGGCTTTCATATTCTCATCCTTAGTATTTTTAATTTCTGCCAAGTTACTAGTTTTGAAATGCTATTTGATGTTTTAACTTAATTTCCTTGAGATTAGACACCTTTCGTGTTTATTGACCACTGAGACTTCTTCTCGTGTCCTTTTAAGTCTACACATATTAAACCTTTTTGTTATTTGTGTAACTATCCTAGGCATATTTTATTGTATGGAAGTTTTTTTGTTTTGTTTTTATTTGTTTGTTTTGTTTTTTAAGTAGCTAGATTAACATTACAGACTATGTTATTTTGTTTGTTTTGAGAAGGGGGTCTTCCTTAGTTGCCCAGGCTAGCCCTGATTTGCTGTCCTTTCATCTCAGTCTCCCATACAGCTGGAATTGAAAGCATGAGGTGACACCTGGCTCTTGTGGGGATTTGGGGCTTTTTGTTGTTTTTGAGGGGATTGCCCAGGGGAGCTCTATTACTGAACTATATTCCCAGTCCTTTTTTTTATATTGGGGCAGGATCTGGCTCCCTGAGCTTCCTGAGTTGCTGGGGTTAGACTGATTTTTTTTAAATATCCTTTCCTGGGTTGGGGATGTGGCTCAAGTAGTAGTGCGCTCGTCTGGCAGGGCACTGGGTTCGATCCTCAGCACCACATAAAAATAAAATATTGTGTCCACCTAAAAAAAAAAAAAAAAAAAAAGTCAATAAAAAATATATATCCTTTCTATTCCATGGTCAGATTTTTCCTTCTTTGTTCTATGATTTCAGCTTTTGCTTTTCCACATTTAGGGCTCTTATCTACCTGGAATTTATTTCTGTGTATCAGGGATCAACAAACCATTGCTCATGGGTTAAAACTAGCCTATCACATTTTTTATAAATAATGTTCTACTGTAGCATAGCCATGCCCATTTGTTTACACAATGCCTATAGCCACAAAGCTAGAGGAGAGTATAATGCTTGCAAATCCTAAAGTATTTACTTTCCGGTCCTTTACAGAAAAAGCCTGCTGTCCCCTGCTATATATTGGACTTTTTTTTTTTTCCTGCTACATAGAAAACCAGTATCATTTACTAATTCATCCTTTCCCAACTGACTAGGAACTTTTTTTTAATAGCTTTATTTTATTCTTTTATTTTATGTGGTGCTAAGGATTGAACTCAGGACCTTACATGTGCCAGGCAAGCGCTCTACCACTGAATCACAACGCTAGCCCCTAGAAACTCTTTTTAACATACCCAGTTCCCATATATAACCTGGATTTATTTTTGTGCATCTCTTTTGAAAATATAACAAATGAATGAAAAATGGAAGGGAAACCAAACACAAGGCTATAGCAAAATAATGCTGCTTCCTCTCTTAACATTTAAACTAAGATTCAAATGACATCTCCTCATAGGGCTTGTCTTAGCCACTCAATTTAAACAAAGAGGATGGTTTTCTTAAATTACTCTTTCATTACACTTTATTCAATTTGTAAACACACAGAGATACACACACTCATACAGTAGGGCTTTTTCTTGTTGAGTGCTTAATCATGAGGTCCTAGCATAGTGCCTGGCAGATTGGAGACGACAGAGATAAGAATATGTTGTGCAACACCTATTTAGCCCCATCTTTGAATGCTTTCTTTCCCCAATCCAAGACCAGGGTGAGAATGGTGAAAAGTGGTTGGATTTGGCCACAACCTGGGATAGTCCTAACAAATTTTTTGATGATCAGATATACAATAGGAGAGAAGGGAGGGGGGCAACAATGTACCAAAGTTTAAGTCAGAGCATCATTAAAAGACCAAAAATATGAAGAACAGGTTTAGAAGGACTAAATCTGAAGTTAAATTTTAGATATTGTAAATAAACTTGTCAGGTAGAGATAAAAAGCAGACCAACAATTGGTCTGTATTTAGGGGTGAAGAACCAAGCTGGAGGTGTAAATTTGGGAGTCATAAACACATAGGTAGTATTTAAAGATGGCATTTAAGGCCTGGATGGGATCCCTAATAAGACTGTTTCTAGCTTCTAATCTTGCCACATCCAGTCTCCAAAATGCATCTAAAATGATCTTTTTAAAACATATCGAATCATTCTTCTTCAAAGAATTTTAAAATATTCTTTTTGTGTTTAAAATGAAACCTAACCACAATCTATATAGTTCTCAATCATCTGATCTTTGCCTACCTCTCCATGCCCCAGTCACAGTAGCCTTCTTTCTATTCTTGAAGAGCACACCAAGCTCTTTATTCTCTTGTCTCAAGTGCTCTTCCCAGTCCTCTCTAAAGTTACCTCCTACTCACTAATCCTTTGGGCTTTATATTTCAACATCACCTGCTGAGTTTTCCCTAACATCTAACCAAAATATGGTTTTCTTCAATTACTCTTTCATTACACTTTATTCAATTTGTAAACACAAAGATATACACACACTCATACAGTAGGGCTTTTTCTTGTTGAGTGCTTAATCATGAGGTCCTAGCAAAGTGCCTGGCAGATTGTAGAGGATAGAGACAAGAATATGTTGTGCAACACCTAATTAGCCCCATCTTTGAATGCTTTCTTTCCCAAAAACAAAACAAACAACAAAAATCCTAACTACTTCAACATAAACTACATATTCTCTCTACCTAGGAACTTTATAAAGCATCCTATCATTTTACCAGTTTCATCCTCTCAGTACTGTTTCGTTCATTCATCACCCAGCATCAGTTACTAAAACCTTGTAACCACTGAAGATGAATTTTTTAGTCAGAGTTCAATAGAGCCTTTAGGAATCACCTGATTCTCCACTGAGAAAAGAGTGAAAAGTGGGTTAATTGGCCTAAACCAGTTTACATTGTTAGCAAATGAGCTGTCTTGTGAACTCAAGTCCATGATTTAGTGTCCCCCCCCCCCGCCCCACCCGCCAAACCTGGAACCTTTCCTTTGAAACAACAAGAATTCACAAACTAACCATTACCATCGTAAGAAACTCTCACTTGTTCTCTTTGGATATGTATTTTTAATGAAATGCAATGACCTTTCCCAGGATCAAAATCATGATGGCTCTACTTAATAATTGGGCACCTTTTACAACTGAAAATCAGAAATATAAGTAGTTCTTTCGTAAAGTTAAGGTTCCAGTAATTAGTAAACTTGCTAAGTCATCAAAAGAAGCGGTCTTCCTCATTAAGAAACTTCAGTAGTAAGTCGTTTTATTTTAGGAACAGCAGTTCCCCCATCCCTTCCGCCCCCCCCCCCCCAAAAAAAAGAGGAAACTGGAAACGAGCACTGGTTGGAAAAAAACTATTTTTCACATGTTGCTTTCAGGCATTAAACCCTCAATATTCGGAAAAGCCAGAAACTTCCGTCAAAGGGTATAAATGTTTTTTCCTCGATCTTGATCCACAGTACGCAAAAACAAGAACAAAAAACCCTGGAAAGTCGTTAAGCAAACAAGCACCAACTTCCGTGGGTTCCAGGAGACACTTTTGGACAGGCGCGACCATTCCCCCTCTGACCTCGCGCGAGGCCGCCGCCTTCTCCCTCCCTGCAGAGTCCCGGAGCACAGCAAGGCATCAGGGGGCGTCTGAGCAGAGGGCGAGCGGCTCACCAAGGGCCTTGCAGCCGCCCTGAAGGAAGCCCTCGTAGGGCCAAAGGTCCCACCGCCGCCCCAGAGGCCCGGCCTGGCCCCCCGCCGGCGCCCCCTCAGGTACCTTTCCGCCGGAAGAAGGACATGGCGGGGCCCGGGTCGGGGCGGAGGGCGCGGGGGGACTGTCCCGGGGAGGGCCCGGCTCCCCTCATTCAGCAACTGGCCCGGACTTCCGGGTCCGCAGAAGCTGTAGCACTAGCCAGAAAAGAGACCCTTCTTCCGGGTGTGGGCCCCACTGCCTTCTCGGGATGCCCAAGCAGCTCCTGCCGCCATATTATCAACAAGCTGCCCGCCCGGAGTTCCGGTCCTTCCCCGCGCGAGGCTTCACGGGAGGCCCGTCCGCCAGCCCCGCCCCCTGCTCCCCACCTCCTCCCGTGGGTGCTGGAGAGCTCCCGCACCACCCACGTGACCCTGCGCGCGTGCGGCTTTGAGCCTCTTTGCTGCAGCGCGGGTCTCGGCAAATAGCCCGGTTTCCGGCAAATAGTCCGGTTCCCGGTGAGGTTTTAAGTCGGCTGGCGCTGGATCTAGATGGAACGCGGGTCAAACTGAGACCGAGTATTTAGTCCTGGAGCAGGAGCCCGCCCTGGAGCTGGGAAAGCGCGCGCCTCGGGTGCGGACCTCCTAGCCCGTGGGGCACATTGCAGAGCTTGCTTTTCCAAAAGGCTGAGCCAGCTCCCGTTCCTCAGAGTCTGCCGAAAGATGCTGGCCGGCTTATACTACTTTGCACTCTCAGCCTCTTTTTCCCCAGGGCTGACCTGGCTGGCGGGTTCTAGGTAATAGTCGACCCTAAATGGGGAATAGGAGGAATAATCTGCTTTATGCAGTTCCAAAGCCTCCCTCCCTCTGTCATAGTGACCATAGAGAATAAAAGGAAGAAGTAGACTTGCTTTCAGAATGCGATTTCGAAGAATGGTTAAATTTGAAAAGGACAGCGACATAAAAGCCTCACCAGTAAATATATTTTCAAGTCTTATTTGAATGTCATTTACATGTGAATCTTCTGACCCTCCCTCGACCCCTAAAGCAGAAAGAATAAAGCCTCTCCACCTTTAGTGCTAACCCTCAACATTCAGTAAATGCACTTAGAGTGGGTGATGATTGTAGCTGCAGGGAAGAAGCCAGCCAATGGCTGTAACAACTCAATATACATTCTCAGGGTTTTTAAAATCAATTAAGTCTATAATGGGACAGGCAGCGAAACATACAGAAGAGGAGGTAACATGCCCAAGATTGCTCATTGACCAGTACTAAGACTGATAGGGGACAGACAGATGAGAGTGGTGGGAACAAGTTAAGAAAATAATTCTATCAAATGGGCCTGCTGTGTGGGTCCCAACATGCTTTCTTTTCCAAGAAGCAATTTACCTGCTGCCCTACGTGGCTCAAATGGTCAGGATATTTCATATTCCTTAGCAAACTACCTGTTATATGCAGAAGAAATGCAGACCTGAAATATTGTCAAAAAGAGGAACCCGCGTTACCCTGAAGGGGGAGAGTATTGTGACCCTTTTCACAGATCAGATCCCAGAATCCAGAGAGATAAGGATAATTCCTCCTGGCCTAAAATCCATAACAATTTTTTGGCTAAGAATCCAGTTAGAATTAGTCAATATGAGCCAAAATGACCTTGAGTTGTCAAGGGAGTGGGGACTTGAAATCTGATGTCATACTACTATCAGTCAAGTCAAGAGGTAGACCTGGGCAGGACTCCCAGGAAATTTCTTTGGGATTCCCCAATAAAACTGGAGTACAAGAGAGGCAAGTTGTCCCTCTCCTTTCAGAGGACCCACTCTTTCCCTTGAACTTGTTCCCTTTTCCCCTTTCATATCCCTTCTAATAAAATCCTTGCCTGTTACTCTGAATGACTTGTCTGAAATCTTTCTGACTTGATCACAAGAATTAGAGTTTGAAGGAAAGCCTTCACAGTCCCAGTTTCCCAGAAGGCCTTGAACCCTGTAATAAGACTTCCTAGAACCTGGGATCTTTTCCATATTATTTGAGCAGGTTAATAGATTTGCCAGTTGACTTCAAGGCATGTTTCCAAGTGCATGAAAGGCAATGAAAGCTAACATTTCCCAAAACTTACTTTACACAGGTACTGTGCTAAACCCTCCAGATAAGCAATGATACTTAGACTTCGTTTTGGTATGGAGGAAACATACTGCAAAAAAGTCACTGTGCAGGCTGGGGTTGTGGCTCAGTGGCAAAGTGCTTGCCTGGCACATGTGAGACACTGAGTTTGATCCTCAGTACCACATAAATATAAAGGTATTGTATCCATCTAAAACTAAAAAATAGGGCTGAGGTTGTGACTCAGTGGTAGAGCACTCGCCTAGCATGTGCAAGGCCCTGGGTTCAATCCTCAACACCACATAAAAATAAATAAATAAACAAAATAAAGGTATTGTGTCTAACCAAAAAATAAATATTAAAAAAACTAAAAATATTTATTTATTTTTGCATTATAATTCTTAATACACCATTATATACATTATAAAAAATATTTAAAAGAAAAGAAAAAGATTTCAAGACCAAGTATCTTCCTGGGTGAGGAGGGATATTGGAGCAGAAAAGACTGAGGCCCTGGATGCCTGTGTGAGCTGATGCTGAAGTGAACATCTGTTTCCTCCAGCTTCAGCAAAGTGAATTCTGACCAGCATCCCCCAAGGTTGAAGGTGCATTTGGAAGCCAATATGCACTTGGGGGCTTGATGGAGGAACCAGGACAAGACACCCCTTGTCTGTGACCAATAAAACCTCATATCTAAAGAGAGATTGACTAAAGTTAGAGAAGAGCAAACCTGAAGTGCTAAGTGGGATTTCTCTACCAGATGAGCCTAAAGGAAGATTGACTTATTAACCTAAATAACATCATTTTGCCTCCCTGACCTGTCCTTTTCTGAAGTTGTGCTTTCCCTCTAGGTTTTTTGTGTTTTTTTTTTTTTTTTTGCTTTTGGTACTGGGGCTTGGAACCCAGGGGCTACATCCCCAGCCCTTTTTATTTTTTTGTTTTGAGACAGAATCTCGCTGTTACTTAGAGCCTCCTTAAGTTGTTGAAGCTGGACTGGAACTGGAAATCCTCTTGCTTTAGCCTCCTGAATTGCTGAGGTTACACACATGAGCCATGGCACCTGGCTTTTTCCCTCAGTTTATCTTAACGTTCAGGATCACTGGGCCTGATAGATAAACATCCGGTGAAGTAAATTGAGATTACTCCCTTGACACCAAATGAATATTGGCTCACCCAACCCCACAAACTGAGAAGACTCTGCATATTACACAAGCTTCACAGCTTTTGCCTTTGTTCTTTCCTTCTTATAACCCCAGAGCTACTACCAATGAAGCCAGATTTAAAGATAGGTAGTTAGTATAGTTAGGTAAATCGGGTCTAATATCGGGTAAAATCGAGAATGAAGGCCATGTTGAGAATGGAGTCCAGGGAAAGGGGAATTGAAAATGTCCCCAAGGCCCAGAACCCATCCTAAGGAAATGTTAATGAAGCAGCTCCCAGAAAACCTGGAGATGCTAATCCAAAAGTTCTTCCTGCCCAGATTACTCCTTCGGCCCACCTGTCTCCCACCCTTTGGGCCTTCCCAACTACATTCCATCACTGCAAGATAACAGAACAAAGGACAGAAACTCCGACAACAGGAATGTGGGAAAGCTGAAAGAAGACCTTAGTTATAAAAGAGGGAAGATCTTGCCTTCCACGGATTCCACCTCCTGGGTCCCCTTCTTCCTCTGGGGACAAGTCTTTTCTACTGTCCTTTAGTAAAGCTTCAACTTTCCACTCTAAACTTGCCTTGGCATGCTTCTCTGATGTTATACTTCAGCATCTGGGAAGTAAGGTAAACCGGTAAACAGTGGTAACACCAACATCCCAAAAGTGGTCCTTAGATCTGTCTTCCTGGCGTGGCACACTGAAATTAAATTTAATTCCATCAACTTCTCCAAGGTTTTTTGTTTTGTTTTGTTTTGTTGTTGTTGTTGTTGTTGTTGTTGTTGAGATGAGTGGCTGAACCTGGTCTGTGTGTACCCCAAAGTCGGTTTCTGTGATCCTGGTAACAAGTCCAAGGGAAACAAGTGGTTTTCTAGCAGAGGGCCACAAGAATAGGGCATCCACACTCCTAGCAAGAAAGCTCATGAAAGAGTAAAAGAAATTGAAGTTAAAGTGTAAAAGACCGGGTATTGTAAAGTTTCTAAGCTGCAAAGCCTGAGTTAAAAATGTAAAGGACCAGGTATTGTTAAGTTCCTATGCTACACTCAAAACCTGAAATTCCTGTAGCTGTTAGGACAATTCCCGGGACTGCCCAGTAGATATTCCCCCTGACCATTTAGTTGTTTAATAACCTAGACCCTGTGCAGCTTGGCACGTAGGCATCTCAGAGCCTAAACCAATCAGTTTGAATGTATACCCTGCTTTAGGACTGACCTATCACCCCCGCCCGACCTGTTCCCGCCAATGAATGTGCTAATCATGTTTGAGAATTGTTGTTTGATTTTCCCGAGCCTCATGATGATTTGCTCTGATGTATGCAAAGCCCCCGCCCTCCCCAAAAAGTGTACTTAAGCACTGCTTAACCCCTGCTCGGGGCTCTTGGCCGCTCTCCCTTCTTGAGTGAGCCTGGAGCCCCAGCGCGCTGGATCCTCAATAAACCCCCTTTTGCTGTTGCATGAGTCGGTCTCTTGGTGGTCTCTTCCTCCGACGTTCGCCGGACCCTTACACTCAATATTCCTCTCTTTCCCTTCCTTCACTTTGTAGGGGCTATTTTTGTTTTTTTACCATTTTTTTTATTATTATTAGTTGTTCAAAACATTACAAAGCTCTTGACATATCATATTTCATACATTTGATTCAAGCAGATTATGAACTCCCATTTTTACCCCGTATACAGATTGCAGAATCACATGGGTTACATCCACTTTGTAGGGGCTATTTTGTATTTGTAGCCCAGTTAGGTGGTTGGATGGGGGAAACTCAGGGGAAGGGACTGTTAGAGAAATCCCCTGTGTATCTCTGGGATAAGAGAAGTGCTTATAGGGTTGAAGGGGAAGACTCTAATTCCTCCACATCTTCTCAAACCCATCCTCATTTTCTCCAGCTAAGCACAGAATCAGTGTAGAAGCAGTGCCTTCCCCAATGTGAATGCTGCCCATGAGTCTTTTCTACTAGAAATTCTGAAGTTGCTTTTATTCCCCCAGTCAGCTGAAGATGTCCCAGTCAGCTAATAATAGCTGTCATTATTTACTAAGTAGTGCTTAAGACATGCCCTCTGTATACTAAGCATTTTATAATCAGGATTATACTTAATCTTTCACC